TATATATATATATATATATATATATAAAAAAACAAAAAATAAATATAAAAAAAAAAAAAAAAAAAAAAAAAATATATATATATATATATATATATATATATATATATATATATATATATATATATATATATATATATATATATATATATATATATATATATATATATAGATGAATTCAGAACTATTAGCCCCCCTGAATTATTAAACCTTGTTTATTTTTCCTCAATTTCTGTTTAACATAGAGATTTTCTTAACACATTTCTAAACATAATAGTTTCAATAACTCATTTCTAATAACTGATTTATTTTATCTTTGCCATGATGACAGTAAATAATATTTGACTAGATATTTTTTCAAGACACTTCTATACAGCTTAAAGTGACATTTAAAGGCTTAACTAGGTTAATTAGTTTACCCAGGCAGGTTAAGGTAATTAGGCAAGTTATTGAATAATGATGGTTTGTTCTGTAGACTATTGAAAAAAATTGCTTAAAGTGGCTAATAATTCTGACTTCAAATGTTTGTGTGTGTGCATTTTGTTAATGCATAGCAAGAACAATAGCATACAAAAAATAAAAATAAAAAATTGAACAGTGCTTACACTTTTTTCACATCAAAGAAACAAACCAATAGAGGATAAAAAAACTAAAATCACAGGGGATATTACAAGTATAAATGACAAGAAATTGGCATAGGAAAATGATTCCAAAATTGCATACATCCTTATAGCCTTTTTTATTTTTAATGTCTTTTAGGGTTTTAATATAACACTTAAGATCAGTTTTAAACAATTACATGTTTGGTTTATCATTAGACCGTTTTTGTTTGTGTATGGTAGGCCACTTCCCATATGTAATCATTAAATTAATTTTAAATTAACAAAATTTGCTCCAAATTTCATTACTATTATTATTATGTCAAAAATATCTTTACAAGAAAACTGATTTTTAAATGTTGTACGATTAAATATAAGATATTCAACATCAAACCAAACATTTGGGATTTGTGCCTTCAAAAAAAAAACAGGTGTTTTATCGATTCCTACAAGTACATGCAGATTCCATGTCTCTAAAATAATTGTCTGTGTAAACTTGTTTCTCTGGATAAATGAAATGATTTAGTTTAAATGTCGCTTCTTTAATTAATTGAGATCTTTTATAAGACTTGCACTTCAAAGCAGGACAGAACGTCATTGACATTTGTATTGGTGAATATTGCCCTCTAGTGGACAAAAAATGATACATCTCCATCCGGGTAACTCGGGATGTTGAGACGACTAAAACGACAAAGTACAAAAACAAAAAAAAAAACAATAATTTAGACCGTTTAGTTCCTGTACATGATGAAATCTTTACAATCTTTTTTAAATATTCAACTTAAATACCACACAATTGATCTCAATAAACGCTAATATTCGATACGTGAAAGATTATATGCCGTATGTGTTTTTTTAATAAACCTTTAAAAACGATATTTAGTTCAAAACTAGAAAAACGGACAAAAATATGTTTCGCAACATACATGTTCTGTCACCGCTTCATGTTTATGGTTAAAATCAATTTATTCCACGCTGAAAAACACAGCTGGCTCCATAGCTCAGTGGTTAGAGCACTGGTCTTGTAAACCAGGGGTCGCGAGTTCGATCCTCGCTGGGGCCTGCCGAGATGGGTACATTTTTTTTTTATCCAAAAAAGAAATTGTCTCCCACTATGAAGTTTACATACTGTATTTACCCACCCTCAACTGGCTCAAAAGATTAATAAGTTTACTTTTTTGAACACAAATGAAGATATTCTGAAGGAAGTTAAAAACCATTGACTTCCGTAGTAGGCTATTTGTTTTCCTACTATGGGAGTCGATGGTTCCGTTTTGTTGAGAATATTTATTGGATAAATAAGAAACTCATGACGTTTTGTAAACAGGTGACATGTAAATAAATAATAATAGAATCAGTATTGGATAATTTTACTTTAAATATCTATGGAGGTTCGTACTCTGACAAATATTGGCCAGAATACTACATTGTGCAGTGGGATTTACAGCACATTAGAAGTTAATGAGGATTTTTTTATGATTCATCTACATTTATGTTGATCACAAGTGTTACAGCTTCATCAAACACCAAGAAAAAATACAGTGTTTTAAGAGAATAACACATAAGAACGCTTATAAATGTTTTAATGCATTGTGTGTTCTCTGCTGTTTATATTATATGACGTGTGAAAATGTGAGATTATTTTTGCACAATCATACAATTGAGCTTTTCACTGAATATGTTTATAGCCTGAATTAAATTAATTAAATTAAAATGAATTATATTAGCAAAAGCAAAAACCTTTTTACCAGTGTTTTCATTGACCATTGTGCATGCAGATTTTTCAAGTGTGTATGGTAACACTTAAAATAATAGTCAATTAGTTAGTACAAGTGTATTTACTAACATATAAGTGTGAACAATCTTGAACATCATTTATTAATAACAATGATCATAGTTTAACATTTACTGATGTATTAATAAAATAAATTATACTGTATTATAATAAAATAATTTATTTTCATTAACTTTAAGATGAATACTAATAAATAAAATAAAAATAATAAAAACATTAACATAAATATAATATATAATAAAAACGTAATAAATGTAAAGTGTTAGTGTTGTGTTGTATGTTGTTTATATAAACATATACACACACACACACACACACACACACACACACACACACACACACACACACACACACACACACACGCACACACGCACGCACACGCACACACACACACACACACACACACACACACATTCGCATCCACATGAACTAAATCCGCCATGTTATAGACTAGATCCAATTATGCAACACACACACACACACTCACCTGCTCCAAGTCACCATTGATTAGACACTGGTTGTTACTAGATCGGATATGTATGCGGCTGGAAGTTAATGAGAATTATTTATATTATTCATAAAATTTCCCATTTATTGTATTTTATTAACGTCTACCCCCACCCCAACCCTAAACCCAACCGCCACAGTAATGTTAAAACAGTAGTTGTACCGAGTATTATTTATGCTATCTATTAAATTAACCAATAAATTGTATTTTTTAACGCCTACCCCCACCCCAACCCTAAACCCAATCGTCACAGTACTGTAAAAATATAAATTATTGTCATGCAGTGTCATAAAAAATGCTGCTATATTGATGTGCATATTGCATTTCCGGCCGCCCGCGTATCCGACCTTAGACTCTCACAGCTGAAGCTGCTTTTGGACTGATTACTGCACTATAAATACAGCACACTAACACACAGTTGTTGCTGAGTCTTGTTTGGTGACATTACAACCATAGACTGTAAAATATATGGACGTAGTATCCGTGACGTCACCCATAGGTTTCTAAAGAGCGCAAAAGAAGCCACAAGTAGGCGCGGCCAACCGTCGCCATTTTGTTCGTGCGTCATCACACCCACGGCGGGATACCAAACAAGGGCAAAGAGGCGGAGAATGAGCGGAGATTCAGACACCTGCTGGCATTTAGCTTGGACCTGGTTCAGACCTATATTTTACAGTCTATGGTTCAGACACACTTTACTTTGGGAGACCGCTTAATACTTTATCACCTGTGACTCGTTTATATTCTGACCACTTGTGCTTGGCTGTACACTATATCAATAAAGTGTTTAGTCTTTTAAAAACACTGCTGTAATACATTGAGCCACTAAACATTGTTGTTATGACGTTTTTCAACAGGAGGAAAACGCGAATTACATCCAAACACTTCAGATATAGTCTGTGTTAGTTAATGTAAGACTATTGATGAAATCCAGCATAACAGTGTATGACAACGCTTCAGATGACTGTTCTAGAGCCTACAGCTAATCAATTCGTCAGATTCTGAAGTGAATTACAGCCCTAAATATAAATATAAATATAAACTATAAATGATCTCAAATAAAACAAATACATGTGTAAAGATGGTATATAAGTATATAACTTTACTCACATGGGAAACGGAGGCCACGTGAATGGTTTGTGAGCACAATTAACTGCCCTCAGAATGCCATGCCATCAAATAATTGTAGGAAACAAGTCCAAAAGGCAGTTGACTGTGTAAAGGCACATAAAACAACACAGAAATACGATAAATATGCCAAGTTCAGTGGCTAATCTGCAGGATTCAGCTGAGGTGACGTGACGGCGACCAACAAGACCTAGCGGTCAATCAAGTGGCCACGCCCTTAATTATGCAAACTTAATATAACTTAATATAAAGGAAACGGATGAGTTATAAAAAAAATTCACCCCCCTCACAGTTGTCATAAAGGGTAATATTAGCTGTATTAACCAAAATCTTTTTTTGTACCAGGCTGTAAACACCCTTTTTTCTGCTGTAAAATTGGCAATTCTTACAGTGGGCTCAATTGAAATTTGCTCCGTTTTGGAGCCAGGAGCGGCCAGGACTAGCGGAATTTCGGATGTATTGCAGATTTAGTTACTTCCGTATTGGCTTCCTGAGGGAGAGCGGGAGGTTGCCGCTTGATTACAACACGTTTCCTTTGTCTTGCTTTGCCGTGTTTTGATCCTCGCCTTGTTTATCTGTTTATCCCTCTCTGCTGCCTGCCTTCTGACCATCTGCCTGTGTGTCTGACTGCGACTCAGGATTGCCCATATACATCTCTTTGCTCCTGTGTTGACCATTGCTTGCCTGACCTCTCTAATAAAGCTGCATTTGGATCCACACCCTTGTTGTCAGTGTCACCGTTATGCTCCGTTCACACCAGATGCGGCATGCGCGTCAAGCAAGCATTTACATGTTAAGTCAATGCAAACGCGCGAATAGACATCCTGCGGTGCGATACGCGCAAATGGCGTGGCGCGAATGACGCAAGTTGCGCGAATGGCGCGGGGCGAATTGAGCGTTTTGCGCGTTTGACGAGCTAAATGAGCGTTTCGTGCTAATCTCTCGAATTCGAAAATCTGAACTTCAGGGTACATTCGCGCCGCATTAACCAATCAGAAGCTTGCTCTTGTGGGGGCGTGATTGTGACGTAGAACCTGTTGTCGGGTGTTCCGACAGTTCATCAAACTTGGCTTGGCTCAGTCAGAAGCTCCGCTGAAAGCCTCCGTCATCCAGGTTCAGTTTCTGGAGGAGTTTATGAGCTCACAGAGCAGTATGCACCTCTGAAAGAATGTAGTGGACTCAGACATGACCCTAAACGTATCAACGTTGTTTTTCAGTCTTCATAAAGCACACAAACACTGTTATTTTCTTCATAAAATCCATGTTAGCCATTTAGCTATGAAGCTAGAGTCACCGGGCAGACAGAAGCCCCGCCCATCACGCGAATCCGCGTCTGTTCTGAAGTGAATTTGAAACGCGAATGAAGCGGGGTTTGACGTGCGAATGAAGCGAGTAAACTCAAATGTTCACGCGGCTATTTATAGCGCGATCCGCACATTCCGCATCTGGAGTGAACACAGCATTACACTATGGAAGTCGATGGTTGCCTGTTTCCACCTTTCTTTACAATACGTCTAAAACAAACAAGAAACTCATGTGGTGTTGGAACAAGCGAAGGGTGAATAAATGACGATAGAATGTTTTGAATGAACTCTCCCTTTAAATATCGCTCTAGGGTCATACTGTACACTCGGAAGTGCTTAAGAACGCTTTTAAATGTTTTTAATGCATCGTTTTACTCCACATCGACCTACAACTGAGGAGGAATTCAGCAATTCAAAAAGAGGCAATACAAAAAATAAGCACTGGTTATACAAAGGAACTACTTGTGCTCAGAGTAGTGCTAGAGTAAAGTCTTTTTGTTTAATGAGATTGTGTTTCTACAGGTGGTTTGTCAGACCACTCACCTGTGTAAAGCTTGATTAATACTGTAAATATTGTGAAGCACACTTAATATTAATTCATGCACTGTGAGTTAATATATTTTCATTGTAATCAATGGATGGATCATCATCATGTGATTACTCTGTTACAACTTCTGTCCTCTGATTAATGACTAATATAAGAGGATTTATTTCAGAAAAGATTTAAACATGTCCTATGAGCACTGCTTGATGTTGCAGATCACTCCGCTCTTGGGCCGAAGAGTTCCCGTGTCTTTAATGTCGAAAGACTGTCCAGGGACCAGACTGAACTCAAATCTCTGGAGCAGTTTGGCAAGCACAACTTTTGCCTCCATCTAAATGCAGAAACACGACAGAGATGATCATGATCACAGCAAATATCCATAAAACAATAAAAACAGATCCTAAAATTTACAAATGTGTGTGCAGTGGTTTTAGTTGTTTCACAAATTTGTATAAGTGGTTTATGATGACATGCTTTGAGTTGTTTTTTTGTCACATTCAAGATTTGCCACAGGTTTCCATTGAGGGTCGGGTTTAGGGGTAGGGGAAGGCCATATAATAAGCAGGTTTAAAATACATTACACCAATCAGGGTTCATACAAATTTTACTACTAAAATTCCATGACTTTTCCAAGACTTTCAAGCACATTTTCAGGACGTGATGTTTCATGTAATGTCTACATATACAGTTGAAGTCAGAATGATTAGCCCCCCTGTTTATTTTTCCCCAATTTCTGTTTAATGGAGTTTTTTTTTTTAACACATGTCTAAACATATTAGTTTTAATAACTCATTTCTAATCACTGATTTATTTTATCTTTGCCATGATGACAGTAAATAATATTTGACTAGATATTTTTCAAGACACTTCTATACAGCTTAAAGTGACATTTAAAAGCTTAACTAGGTTAATTAGGTTTACTAGGCAGAATAGGGTAATTAGGCAAGTTATTGTATAATGATGGTTTGTTCTGTAGACTATCGAGAAAAAATATAGCTGAAAGGGGCTAATAATATTGTCCTTAAAATGAAAAATAAAATAAAATTAAAAACTGCTTTTATTCTAGCCTAAATAAAACAAATAAAACTTTCTCCCGAAGAAAAAAATATTAAAAGACATACTGTGACAATTTCCTTGCCCTGTTAAACATCATTTGGGAAATATTTCAAAGAGAAAATAAAAATCAAAAGAGGCTAATAATTCTGACTTCGACTGTACATTGTCACCGACTCGGTCCCAGTCATTCCCCTCGCTGGCCAGCAGAGGCCGCCATCCCCGGACTTCTAGCATTACATCATCCACATAGACTGATTGTGTAAACACCTGAACTGAATCACGGTAATGACCCACACCACCTTTATTGACCTTATTCTAAAATGCGGAAGTGCGCCTGTTTTCGCGATTGTCTTAGAACTTCCGATTCAGTCGCCTATGGGAGAAATGACTAAGAATAGTAAACGGCAGAAAACGGTCAAACTACTTGCTCTACAAACAAATGTTTGCATGACTACACAGTCTAAGTAGAATAATATAATAAGAAAATATCAAATTGCGACATCAACCAGCGTAACGAGCAGTTTTTAACGTCAAAAAATGAATGGAAGTGAATGTGACCGGAAGTCGCGAGACAAAAAGATTCAAATGGCAAATTTGTGTTTGACTGTGATTAATAAATACTGCAAAATGGATCCCTCCGTGTCAGTCTCCCCGTTACATACATACAGCACAGATATATTAAATATGCCCTAATTCAAGTATACAGATATTTGTTAAACTAATTTCCATGACTTTTCCAAAACTTTGTGGGGTTTTCTGTTTTTCCAAAACTTTTCCAGGTCTGGAAAATGCCATGCCATTCCAGGTTTTCCATGACCGTATGAACCCTGACCTATAAAGAGTCCTGATAAACCACCAAAACCAATGTGTGTGTGTGCGTGTGTGTGTGTATGCGAGCATGTGTGTGTGTTTTTCATCACCTGTGAGAAGACCTGCCCAAGACAGGTTCGTGGACCAAGTGCAAATGGGTAGTAGCAGTAATAAGGCCTTTAGAATAGAAAACAAATCGAAATCAGCATTTTCATGCTATAACATTATAACATAAAGGTGTGTTCATGTTATAAAATTCAGGCACACTTGTTAAACTCACAATTTATTCTTACTCCTAAACTTTGTCAAATCTGAAATCTGAGTTCTTTACCACATCACTGCGGTAACGTCAAGCAGAAAAACTGCACTAATTCAATTAAAGGTTCAGGACACCCTGGAGAACTTTTTTTTTTATATTAACAGATGTGTGTGTGTTGAGCATCAGTTAAGACAATGTTAGCACCTGTCAGCTTTAATTGTGGGGAAAACTGGATAATTTTGAGCTTTTGTCAGCTAATTTCAGCTTCCGGGTTTTAAATGATTTTTGGGGAGGGATCAAAATCGGCAACGTAGCGCAGTATTGTAAGTGCAATGATGACGCGTCGGTTTCTCATTATTATTCATAGCGGAGTTTTCTTATCCTATGAGAAGAGCCGACTGCTTAATTATTCATGAGAGCGCGTGCTTTCCGAAGGCAGACCTGCCAGTTTCAAGCAAGCTGTGAGTGAGACACAGACTAACGGCACGCAGTAGCCGTTCATGAAGGCTCGTATGTGTTTGTTTCCATGATCCACGGGGTTTGTTGCATGTTTATCCCCGCGATCTTGTCAGGGCTGATCATACAGCAAAGCTGTGTGTGTGTACTGCAAGCATTTTTGTCGGGAGAGCAGTACAAGGATTGAAGAGTGACGGACGTTGACTTTTATCAGGAGTTCATTCACATTCAGACACATCGCCGTGCTGCTGTGTTTGCCTAAATCCTGCAGATTACCAGCAGGACTAATGGTTAAAATAGACAGGTCAGGAGACCTGCTCCACTGAGTCTGCATTTAGATCTATGATTCAGACCCGGTGATCGAGGGAGAATCCTCATTTATAGTGTTTACATGAACACACTTATCTTTATAATAATATAAATTGTGGTTATGTGTATATGAAATTACGAATAACAAATGTAGCAGGGCATTAAATTACTGTTTATTTCTTCGCATTTTAACTTTGTGAACTATAAACTCATGCGTCTCCTCAGGGTTTGTGTCTCAGTTTGTGAGCTAACTGTCAACAACGCTCCCCTTCTCCCCTGCTGGCCACGCCCACTCCTGCCCGATGCTCGCGGAGCTCCACGCCCATTAATCATGCATCTTTTGAAAAAAATTCTGAAGTAGAATTTAACCGAAAGTGGGGGGTGTCATGGCCCTTTAAACAGGTATCTTGTTATATTTCTGTTCAGTAATTCCTACATTTGACTATTGCTAATGTCATAAAGGGGTAGTTCACCTAAAACTTACAACAACATTTGCTCAATTAATCACCCTCAGTGTATATGACTTCCTTCTTTCAGATAAACACAGTCAGAAGAGCTTTAACTGGGTGTTGAACCAGTCTTACGAAGAAGATTGATGCGTTTTAAAAATTCATCGTTTGCTCACCCTCCACTTGTTTCAAACCTGTTTGAGTTTCTTTCGTCTGTTGATCACAAAATAACTTAATTTACAAGGATGCTGTAAACTGCAACTCACTGATTTCAGTGGTATTTTAATTTCTACCACAGATGTAAAAGGTTACCAATTGAACATTCTTCAGAATATTTTTGTTTGTGTTTTACAGAAGAAAGCAACCCAACGGTTTGGAGTAAGGGCGAGTAAATAGTGAGTAAATTGAAATCTTTAGGTGAGCCATGCCATTAATAATGTTTACATTTAATTAATAATTTCTAAACTAAAAATAAAGAATAGAAAATAACTTATTTGCTGAATATCTAGAGCAGTGATCACCAAACTTGTTCCTGGAGGGCAGGTGTCCTGCAGATTTTAGCTCCAACCCTAATCAAACACACCTGAACAAGCTAATCAAGGTCTTACTACGTATCCTTGAAACACAGGTGTGTTGAGGCAAGTTGGAGCTAAACCCTGCAGGGACACTGGCTCTCCAGGACCGAGATTGGTGACCCCTGATCTAGAGGATCAAATGAAATCGAGACTACAGTAGGTGATAATGACTTACTTTGGGGCATTCTCATCAAACCTCTCTGGATCAAACTTCAACGGATCTTTGAAAAACTTTTCCAGTCTTTGGGAGACAAAAGAGCTGAACTGTATGGAAAAAGAGAAATGCGGCTCGAATGTTGAATAATTTTTTTCAAACACACAAACAAGTATTCTTTTGTAATCTTTTTACTTTCCTTTTTAACATTTAAAGTTGTATTAATTCTGCTAAAAACATTAACCAAAAAAAATCTCTCCATATTCAATAAGACAGGAGCTGTTTATGTTTGACTTGTTTTGTTTTGAAGTTGTCATGTTGGTGATGCTCACCATAACAGAACAGCCTCCAGGGATTTTAATGCCGTTTATGATCATGTCCTCATGAAGCCAGCGATTGGTTCCTGGCGCAGTGGGGTACAGACGCAGGGTTTCCTTCAACACCTGAATAACACAAAGTGTGGTTTATTCATAAACTAATTTCGAGAGGATCATGTGCTTATAATCAACACGGCTGGCTCCTTGTTAGCTCCGTAATCAGCCCTATTAGATGATTACGGAAGCATTATAAATAACCAGAGTTTTTCACTCCAGTTATCTTCGCCTTGAAGCTCCCCCCCTTTCCACCCCTACATCCTCCCACTTTTTCTGATCGGGCGACACGGTGGCCCAGTGGCTAGCACTGTTGCCTCACAGCAAGAACACCGCTAGTCCAACCCATCGGGGTGGTTGGTTTTTCTGTGTGGAGTTTGCATGTTCTCCCCGTGTTCGCGTGGGTTTTCCCCGGGTTCCCCGGTTTCCTCCCACCGTCCAAAAACATAAACCATAGCCAATCGATTAAAACAAATTATCACCCAATACAACCTGAGTTTACACTTCTCACGGTGACAGCAGGGGAGTTCTCGAGACCTACCTGACCTCGAATTCCCTTTTCGCCCTTCTAAAGGGAGGGAGCCCCGGGCTCGAGGATATTACGAGCTCAGGGCTCTCTCCCGGGACAGCATGCCAAATACGCTTTATTGATTATCAGCTAAGTGTGAACTCTTGAAAGACCATTAAAAGAAATGGATTTAAAAGCATTTGTGTTTGTAGCATGTAAAAAATCTCTATGAACCAACTTGAGACAAGTAAGTCAATTTTCCAAGGTCTTCATTTGAAATTTCCCTTTTGGTTCCGAGGACTTCATCCACCTCTGCTTTAGCTCTGGAAATTAAAGGAATATTGAACTATAGTATTATAATAAAAGTCTGACAGAACAGGGGCACATTTCTAACAAGTGTTTTACCGTTTATATATCTCTGGATTTCTCCCTAATGCCATGATTGCAAATGAGAGCTGATTGGCTGTTGTCTCTTGGCCTGCAGAAGAATAGAGCAATAGTATCTGGCTGCAAGACATGCAAGCTGAGACAAGCAGTCTCAGACACATGCAATAAACAGAGCTACTGGCATCACTGTGAATGGTAGTGTCAGGGGCAGGGTTTGGTGTATGCAATAAAACCCTGCATGCAGCCTGTTCATATCCACAACAGTTTATGAACTAATATCAAAGTAACTCACCAGCAATGAAGAAAGTCACAAAATTGTCCATCATCTGCTCAAGATCTTCTGAGCTGTTAACATTTTCCTCCTCTGCAACAAAACATGAAGAGTGTTAGGCTACCTGGTAAAATAAAACTGATCTAATGTTGGATCATGGCATTCGTTGTAAATACCCAAAGTATTCAGACCCACTTAAATCTTTCACTCTTTCTTACATTGCAGCCACTTGCTAAAATCAATGTACACACAGCACCCCATACTGACAGAAACACACAGCATTGTTGACATTTTTGCAGATTTATTATAAAGAAAAACCGAAAAATCACATGGTCTTCAAGTATTCAGACCCTTTGCTCGATATTTATTAGAAGCACCCTTATGAGCTAATACAGCCTAATTAGGTCTTTAAATGTCACTTTAAGCTGTATAAAAGTGTCTTGAAAAATATCTAATCAAATATTATTTAGTGTCATCATGGCAAAGATAAAATGAATCAGTTATTAGAGATGAGTTTTAAAACTATCATGTTTAGAAATGTTGAAAAAAATCTTCTCTCTGTTAAACAGAAATTAGGGAAAAAAATAAACAGAGCGGCTAATAATTCAGGGGGTGTAATATATATATATATATATATATATATATATATTCATTCATTTTCTTGTCTGCTTAGTCTTTATTAATCTGGGGTCACCACAGCGGAATGAATCGGCAACTTATCCAGCACGTTTTTATGCAGAGGACGCCCTTTTAACCGCAACCTATCTCTGGGAAAAATAAATATATATATATATATATATATATATATATATATATATATATATATATATATATATATATATATATATAT